ATGGTTGTAGCTTGCATGGAATTCACTTATATTAGGCTATTAAATCAAGTCTTGGCACGTTTTATAACATACTTTAATTTGAGAGCATTTGGATGAGTTTTAAAATCTAGAGATTTTAATTAAAATAATTAATTAAAACATATTCAATGGTTCCATGAGCTCGATTAAGTTTCTAACTTAGTATTCATGACTTCCTTGACAAGTTCCTTCACGTGTATCAAATTGAGAATAAAGGATAAGTTTTGAAACTTATATTTAATTATTTTCCTTATATGAAACTTAATTTACATGGTTGTATCTTCTATGGAATGAACTTGTAACTTGATATTAAACTTGTCTTTGACGTGACCTTTGACATGCCTTTTTCAAAGAATATTTAGAGTTGCCTTGTAGTCTTGAGAATTTAATTCTTTAAGTTGATTAAATTCCATTCTATACTTCTATCGAGTTAACTATGCTTTAATATTGAACTCTTGTCAATCTTATGAATCGGACTTGTATTTCATGGGGCTTTTAGCTTTTTACCATGTATCTAGACTTCTTGTAACTAGACTTCTTGTAACTTGATTTCATTAAGGTAGTTAATGAACAAGCACGATTGTCTTGGAATGATTTAATTACTCATGTGTCGCTTAGTAAATAATTGAATCATATGTCTTATACTTGTGGTATATTTACATCAATGTATTCTATGTGCTATATATCTTGGTTGTAGTCTATATAGATGCCCACTTTGATTTCTTAACATTTCACATGCCATCATAGTTGAGGACTTAGGGCATGACTTGTGTGTTCCAAAATCTTGGTTGTGCATGGAATGTGGTTTAATGCATTACTTGTATCTTGATACTATCTTAAATTGCACAACTTGTTGATTTGGGAACTTGGGATATCAATCAAGAATTGATATAGCTAGGACTTGGTTCTAGTACGGGAGATAGAAAACTCCTTACACTATAGTGCACACTAGGAGAAGGTACCCATGGGTTAGTAGCCCTAAAGTGAGCCCAAGAATATAGTTTTAATCCGGGCGATATCCGAGTATCCACATTGGTTGATTTCACTCTTTAAATTTCAAGTTGCTATTCCTTGAAGATTTAAAACTTTTCGTGTTATGTGGAATGCTCCAATCTTGTTAATTGCATAGATATTATGCTTTATCTTCGATTTCACTCCTTGAATTTCAAGTGTTATTCCTTGAAGATTCAAGAACCTTTTCCTATTTTATAGAATATTTCAACCTTATTACATAGCATAGATATTATGCCTTGTCCTTGATTTCTTGTACTATTCTTATTGTGTTAATTGGAATGTTCCAATCATGTTAATTGCATTGATAATGTAGTTCTTTTAAACTTATATCTGAGTATTCTTCTTGTCGTGTTAATTGGAATGTTCCAACCAAGTTAATTGCATTGATAATGTGATCTTTGTATTCAAGCATCCTTTTTGTCGTTTGTATAGATTATTCCAAACCTTGCTTAATTGCATTGATGATGTGATTCATGCTAACTTATAAACTTGTCGCGTTCTTTGGATTATCCCAAACTTGATTCATTTAATATATGTATATATATATCATGATTCATGTTGATTTATACTTATGATGCTCATTGAGTCTCATTTTGACATAGACGTTAGGTGGCATGAGCCCCTTTAACATGTTTCACCTTAAGGTGATGAAATTGTAAAATGTTAGGTTGATGCATGCTCATCTCCTATGAGTAGCTTTATGTTACTCACCCCAAAGTTACAGGGGTCATTTTTCAGGTATGAAGACTTGGTTCGTGGTGCTCATCACTCCTTGCATGACTTGTAGCTTTTACGTGTACGTTTCATGCAAATGTTAGCATAAAATGTCATTTTGTAGACTTATATCAAAACTTGTATATTTGATTCTAAGTATATATTGTGTGCCTAAACACACCTTTTGACTTTCATTTTATATGTATGACATGAGGCCAAGGGCCAAGCACGTTTATATTTACACTTGTACTCATTTGATGCCGGATTTTGTTTAAAAATGTATTTTCATCAACTTTGGAGGTGTAGCATCTAACATTTTGTAAACGAATTGTAATGAGGCCGTAAGCCATTATAGCATGTTTAAAATGTTATATTACACTTGCGTGCATGTTCATATCACCATACAACAGAGTATAATGTAAATTGATCATACTATGGGGGATGCAAATGAGACTTAAGAATTCTTTTCAGCCTTGGTACATAATAAGCCTGATTTTCACATTTTCGACTTGTTTCGATCGACCGGTGACTCATTTCGGTTGACCTCCAATAGCCAAAATCACTATTCAGGTCCATTTCGGTCGACCGATTCTTCATTTCGGTTGACCTAAATGATTTTCCTTCATTTTTTTGAATTCGGACCATTTTTTGTTCATTTCGGTTGACCAAAATGCCATTTTGGTCGACCTAAATAGCCCACACTCATATGCCTCTTCAATTTTGTTTCAGCACTGTTGTTCCGACTTCAAACGATCTTATCTTCCTCATTTGTAATCCAAATGGGGTGATTCTTGAGCCTAAATTCAAGGATTTTGAGTTAGATTTCCAATGGTATTAATGCCATTCTTAGATTCAAACCATTTGAAAGTAGAAACCCACTAAGTCTTTCATACTAAGCTCTAGGAGCTTGTTTCAAACCATATAAAGCTTTGGTCAATTTATAAATGTGATTTGGATTGTCATAGCTTTCAAAGCCCGGTGGTTGTTCTACAAATACTTCTTCATCTATAAAACCATTCAAGAAAGTGCTCTTTATATCCATTTAAAATAATTTGAAATTTTTAAGAGATGCAAATGCAAGTAACATTCTTATACCTCAACGGGAGCAAAAGCCTCTTCATAATCTATACCTTCTTCTTGGTTATAGCCTTTTGCAACAAGTCTAACCTTGTTCCTAACAATAGTTCCTGACTCATCCTTTTTGTTTCTAAAAACCCATTTTGTGCCAATAATTATTTTATTTTGAGGATTAATGACAAGATGCCAAACCTTGTTCCTTTTGAATTGAATGAGTTCTTCTTGTATTGCCAAAAGCCAAGATTCATCATTTTCAGCCTCATATATATTTTTAGGTTCGAATTGAGAAACAAATTGCATACATTTCTCCATTATGACCTTGTGCTAGCACCTTTGGATGGATCACCAATAATTTGGTCAATGGGATGATTATGAACTAACTTCTATTCATTTGGAGTAGTTTTATTTTGAGAGGTATCATTACTTGAATTGGAACTTTGATAGATATCAATAGGAGACTCATTTATGTTGAGTTCATTGATACTCTTCTCAAGCTCTATAGGGGACCTATTTGTATTAAGTTCATTGATACCCTTTTCAAGTTTAACTTCTTTATCATTGTCCATCACACTTTTTATGGGAGAGGTTGGGGATTCATCAAACACAACATGTATGGATTCAACCATAACTAAGGCCCTCTTGTTATAAACTCTATATGCTTTACTTCTAGAGGAATATCCAAGAAAAATGCCTTCATCGGATTTAGCATCAAATTTTACTAGATTATCCTTGTCATTGAGGACAAAGCATTTATACCCAAAGACTTTAAAATAACTAATATTAGGTTTTCTTTTGTTCTATAACTCATAAGGTGTTTTGTTGAGAATCTTTCTAATAACAACTATATTTATAACATAGCATGAAGTGTTTACGGCTTCGGCCCATAGAGATCTAGGTGATTTTTGCTCATTTAGCATGGTTCTAGCCATTTCTTGAAAAGATCTATTTTTCCTTTCAACAACACCGTTTTGTTGGGGAGTAGTGATTGTAGCCATTTTTGTCGCAAAATCTTTCAACGTCTTGATTGTCAAACTCTCTACCCCTATTACTTCTAATGGTTTTAATTTTACATTCCTTTTCGTTTTCGACTCTTTTGCAAAATTTTGAAAGAATTGAATGAGCCTCATTTTTGCGTGCAAGAAAGAATACCCAAGTGAATCTAAAGTAGTCATCTACAATCATAAAGGCATAAAGTTTACCACCAAGACTAGAAATTTTCTCTGATCCAAAAAGATCATTGTGAATCAATTCAAGTGGTCTAGAAGTGGTTATATCCTTTTTCTTTTTGAAAGAAGACTTGATTTGCTTACCGATTTGGCAAGCACTACATGGTTTATCTTTTGAAAAATTTGTCTTAGGGAGACCTTTGACAAGTTCATTTTTAGATAATCTTGAGATTAAATCCATGCTAGCATGACCTAACCTTCTATGCCACAACCAACTATGTTCATTTGATGACATAAAACATTTAACATCTTGTTCTTGAAGTTTACCTAATAGCAAGTTTACATTACCACTTTTAGGAGCACAAAATATTTAAGATTCATTTCTTTTAACAATGCATTTATTTGATTTAAAAGTCACATCAAATCCATTATCACAAAGTTAACTAACACTAAATAGATTATGCTTTAAACCTTCAATAAGTAAAACATGTTCAATTAATAAAGAGGAAGAAATACCTATGATCCCAATGCCAATTACCTAGCCTTTAGAGTTGTCTCCAAATGTTACGCTTCCTCCGTTGTATGCTTCTAGAGAGGAGAATTTTATGCGATCACCCGTCATATGTCTTGAACATCCGCTATCTAGAAACCATTTGTCCTTGGAAGATGTGGAGACCTTGAAACCATCCTACAAAAGAGATTTCAAATATTTTCACTTGGTACCCAAATCTTGTTGGGTCCATGGGAGTTAGCTAAGAGCACATATGTTCTTTTAAGAACCCATTTCTTTATGATCTTAGGCTTTCTCTTTGAACAGTCTTGAATAAGATGACCCATTCTTTTACAATAATTGCATCTAGAATTTCTATTCTTGCTTTTGACAAAGTAGTTGGCCAAGGGCTCTCTCTTTTTTAATAGACATGCTTTCTTGTAAAAAGGGTCATATCCTAATCCTTTTTTTATTAAAGACACTTCTTTAAGCACCTAGCATTAGTTCTAGATTTTTGGTACCTTGAGTAAACTTTGCTAGACCATCAATTTGATCTTCAATGATTAACTTCAAGGATTCATTTTTAGAGATAAGTTCAGGTGATCCAGTTTCTTTAAGTGACATGCATTCCTTTTTTAAGCATTCATTTTCATTTAGAAGAGTTTGAAGTTTGTTTTCAACGATAAGTTTTTCCCTTCTTTGAGAGGCACATTTTTTGAACATTTTACCTAGTTCATCATACAATTCCTTAAAACCATCAAGTAATCCATTATATGCATCAACCAAATCATCATAAGACATTTCACATTCAGAAGAAGAGTCAAAATTAGAATTTTCCTCATCCCTGTTTGCCATGAGACAAATGATGGCTTTCTCTTCATCGCTTTCGGAGCCATTTGAGTCGTCATCTTCCCAAGTGGCTTGCATTGCTCTTTTCTTTTTCTTTTCCGCTTTATAGGCATGACAATCGGCTTTGAAATGTCCCAGTTTTCCACAATGAAAACAAGTAGGGGTGTCTCGTTTGCTTTGTTCATTAGATGATTCACCCTTTTTGAACCTTCCTTTGTTGAATTTCTTCCTATGAAGGAATCTTTTGAAGGATTGAGTGATGAGAACCAGATCATCATTTTCACTTTCATTGTCGGCAACTTCCTTTTCTATTTGAGATGCTTTGAGAGCAATTTCCTTCTTTCGATGATGATCTCCTTTTCTATCTTTTAGGGTGATCTCCCATGTGAAAAGAGAGCCAAGGAGTTCATTTAACTCAAGTGTGTTGAGATTGTGAGCTTCCTTAATTGCCATTGCTTTTGCATCCCATTTTTCAGGTAAGTTTCTTAGAATTTTCCTTGCAAGATCAGAGTTAGTCATAGTTCTGCCAAGATGTTTCAAGCCATTTATAATGTCAGTAAATCTCACAAACATTACACTAATGGACTCGTTTTCATTCATATGAAACAATTCATATTGATGCATAAGAATGTCAATTTTGGATTCCTTGACTTGTGAAGTTCCTTCATAAGTAACCTGGAGTTTATCCCAGATTTCTTTAGCTATGGTACAAGTAGATACTCTATTATATTCACTAGGACTTATAGCACAATTTAGATTGACTTTAGCTTTGGCATTTAAGGAAATAAGTTTATAATCCTCGGTGTCCCATTCAGCTTCAGTTTTAGGGATTCTTCTTGTGTTAACAACTTTCATTGGAACAAAAGGTCCATTAACTATAACTAGCCAAATTTGATAGTCTACGGATTGAAAAAAGTCTATCATTCTATTTTTCCAATATCCATAGTTTATTCCATTGAACCAAGGAGGTCTAGTATTAAATTAACCTTCTTGATGAAGATGACCATTTAAGTTTGCCATGATCGTTCTCTAATACACTTAAGCTTTTTCAATAGAGTTCTAGCTCTGATACCAATTGTTGCCCAAGTATAGACTCTAGAGGGGGGGTGGGGGGTGAATAGAGTCTAAGCAAACTAAGGTCAATTTTTCATTTTAATTAACTAACTAGGACTTAGCTTAGTATCCTTGATAATTATTAATGAAATCTATCTGAATTATAAACTTCAAAGGATAATATTTATCAAATAAAATATGAAGCAATGAATGTAAGAGATAGAGATAGAGATTGTAAACATATACTCAGCGATTTTAGCGAGGTTCGGAAACTCCTACTCCTCGGCTCAAGACCCCTCTTGAGACTTCCCAATTCACTATGGCTTCAACTTGCTGGTGGAGAGCAAACCTTTTTACAAAAAGCTCTTCCTTGCTTCTAAGTGCTAAGAGAAACACCTTTTCTTAGTCTTCTTTGGGCCACACTAGCCCTTACAAGATTTGAACAAGATTGATGAAGTACAAGATGATCTCTCTTAAATCTAAAGTACAAGATTCAGCTCACTCTCGAGTATGTATGAATAAATTGAAGCTCAATACTCTTTAAGGATATGAAGTATGCGAATTATGATAAAAAGGTTCTAAGATTGCAAGAATATGTTTCTTAATGAATGCAATACCTTTTTATGAAGTTTAAAAGTCATTATATAGTCTTTCAGATCTAACTGATATGAATTCTAGCTGTTGGACACACACTTCGAGGCAAAATAGCCGTTTAAATTTTGAATCTGTGCAGGTTCGGTCGACCGAAAAGAACCATTCTTGTGTTTCGGCAGACCAAAATAACTTAGTGGTTATCTTATACTTTCTATTTTGGTAGGCCGAAATGATTTAGCCTTTTGTTTCGGTCGACCGAAATAGTTTGAGCCCTGAATGTAAAAGTCTCTGTTTGAATCGGTCGTCCGATTCATTTAGCCCTTCTATTTTGGTCGTCTGAAATAACTAGAGACTTGGGATATGATTTTATTTTGGTAGACCGAAATAAATTGGAGTTCTATTTCGGTAGGCCGAAATAGCTTGATGCACAATTCCAAAACTCTCTGTTTACATCGGTCGACTGTTTCAATGTGTCCTTCCATTTTGGTCGACCAAAATGGAATTTGAATCTTAGGAACATGTTTGATGGTGTTTAAACTTGGTCCAATGTTCCTTAAACTTGATGAATGTGTTTTTATGCATGGTTTTGAGAGTAAGAGCTTTAAGATGTTCATTTATGCTTTAATAAAGTTTCCTAAAAAGCTCACCATCCTAGCTAACCCCTTTTGATGCGATCTTGATGACTTCACTTAGAATCTTTATTCCTTTTGTCTTTTTCTCGTATCTTCAAGATGCTTCTTTATTTGAGCTTTTATCTGTAATGTCTTGGATTTAATGAAGGCTTAGATCTCTAATTTTGCTAAGGTAGACATTAGTACGTAAAGAACATCATTAATAAATTATGATCATCAAAAGTCTTGGATTCAAGATCAACAAGATGGATGGTTTTGAAATGGGAAGTGACATAGCATGGCATTACATTTCATGGTGCGACATTGTTTGTTTTTAGCCTTGTAATTGTATTGTATTCTTCCTCGATATAGCATGATCCTGTTTCCTTTATTTCTATTCATTGTTTGGATTCACAGGGTTACAAGAAGTGTGTCTTAGGCACCACCTACTAAGCAATTTTGCTTACCCCTTATTATAAATGTGATGGCCCAAAATTTTCAACCCGGTGCGTCAGTGATGAACCGAAAGTGATCCGATAACGGATCTGAAATGCGAAAGCTAAAGGTAAACCAAGGTCTCTAGAGATAGGAGTCACTCCTAAGACACAAATGTGACCCTTCATGAGGTTATGGAACTTAAAGAGGACAAAAACGGAAACAAAGGTCAAAAGGACAAAATTTGCTATCGAAGGGGCAAAAAGGTCAATTCACTATTAAAAGGAGAGACTTGACTCTAAACAAGTCAAAAAATGTTAATACAACCTAATCTACTCATTTTGAAACATTCCAAGAGGTTCCATGAACATTGGCTAAGAATCCCACAAAATGCCCCGTCCCGATTGAAGTGAAAACTGACACTGCTTCACTAAAATATACATAACTCCCACCACCTTTGGAACCTGAGAATGGGATTGGTACCATTGGAAATTTGACTCAAAATCCTTGAGTTTAGGCTCAAGAATCACCCCATTTGGATTAGAAATGAAGAAGTTATGACTTGTTGAAGTCGGATGATTAGTGTTGGAACTCTACAGAGACTAGGCTCGGGATCAAGCTATTTTGGTTGACCGAAATGGACTTTCGGATGACCAAAATGAAAGTTCTGAGACCTGAAATCATGAAGAAAAGGCTCGTGTTGCTTCAGTAGACCAAAATAAAGGTTCGGTCGACCGAAATGACTCATGAACAGTGCATTTGGCTACTGGAATGTGATTATACTGTGCATTGGCAATTCCATTTGCCATCGGTTGACCGATATGGAGTTTTTGTCGACTAAAACACCACGAAAAGCTACTAAGAAGGCTGCTATGAGTCCAAGGTGTTAAGGTTCAACCTCAACTTTGAATCCCATGATGTTTTGGTTCACAATGAATATGTAAAATTGATTTTTCATAAGTTTTGAGAATGTGAACATGTCAACAACTTTGATATGAATAAATAAACATAAAACAATGGCCCATGGCCTCATACACATCATTTACAAGATTTTCATATGTCAAACCTCAAACTTTGGTTTAAATACACTTTTGATGCAAAGGTTGATACCAAAAGTGTCTAAGTACAAAAGTATACATGTTTGGCCCATGGCCTCTTTACATACATGTTTATAATGGCAAAAGTAAATGTTTGAGTGTCATTACATATCATGAAAGCTACTAAAGCTCCAAAAGTACCATACACCCATGGCATTCAAAATATGATATCAAAAGAAAGGCATGCTAAACACTTGCATGTCAATATACAAAAATGCTTCATTTAGCTCAAAAGCTTCTAAGGATGATGAGCATCCAAGAACATAGTCTCTTTACATGAAAAACAACCCAAACCACTAGGGTGAGTAATCAAGTTACTCGTAGGATGTGGTGCATGCGCATACCTTATAGTTTTAAGAATAATGGGAACCAAACATAGGCCATCACAAGGGTGCATTCCACCTAACGTTGATAATCCCATGGTGCTCTAAGGGATCATCTCAAGGTATACAAATGTTGAAACGGTAAACACATAACATCCAAGTATACATAAGCAAGTACACTAACCACATTAAACTAAGATTTACCAAAACGCAAGCTACAAGAAATCCATGATTTACAACTTAGAAAGTAATGCGAAATCAAGTAATGGAAAGACTAGGATATGTGGCCATAAGACCATATAAGTTATTTTGGGTAATTATGACCCACAAGGTACTACCTAGTGCGCACTATGACTTAGGAGAATTCCTATCCTCCGTACTAGAGCCAAACTCTAGCCATTAACTAAGCTTTCCTCCAATGGTAGATTTGCTAGGGTTCAAGAGAGATAAAGAAATGAAGAAGGTAAAGTGTAAAATGGTGAGTGGAAGGGCTAGAAATCCTCCCCTCACTATGTGCTCTTGCACTACCTCTTACACACACACAATGCAAGACTAAACCTTGATCCTATACTTGTCACTAATCTAATGCCTCTTCCAAGACTAAATCCCAAGCCCACACTTGTCACAAATCAAAGGCTAACATGTGCACTAATCTAAGGCCAACACATGGATGAATCTCCACCCACCAAATTTCAAGAAGTCATGGTGCCAAGTCTCTTCACCTAAATGCCAACAAATGGCTCCATGAGAGTGTGACACTTGTCACACTTTCCAAAAATTGCAAAAGGTCCTTTTTCAAAATATCTTCTAAAATAAATTACAAAAAGGTCCCTAAAACGAAAAATAATTATATTACATAATTACACTAAAACCCCAAAAATTATAAATAATTACATATTCATGCCATTTACAAGAAAAGTACTAATCTAGCATGCTTTTCAAGAAAAATAAAAATACCAATGTCATGGAAATCAAATACCATGAATGTATACAAAACTGGAATCAAATCCGAGCACAACAAGTGAGGTTATGCAAGGAAAAACGAAAAATGACTAAAGGACGAAATAGGGAAAAGACAAAAAAAAAAAAAAAAAAAAGATGAAAAAAGAAAATTGCCGAAAATGGAAAAGGAGGAAAAAGACCGGGTCATTACAACCTACCCTCCTTAAAAGGATTTCGTCCCCGAAATCGAGTCGTACCTGAAAGAGAGAACAAATGGGGATACCGAGAGTGAACCTCCTATTCGAGCTCCCAGGTAGCCTCCTCAACGCCGTGATGTCTCCACATGACCTTAACCAATGTAATGGTCTTGGTCCGCAGAACCTGCTCCCGTGAATCAAGAATCTGGACCAGACATTCCTCGTAGGTCACATCCTCATCAACAACAACATATGTCCACCGTAAAATATGCGATGGATCCGGCTCGTACTTCCTCAACATAGATACTTGGAAAACGTCGTGAACCCTATCCAGGTCTGGCAGCAATGCCAAACGATAAGCAACTTCATCGACGCGCTCCAAAATCTGAAATGGTCCAATGAACCTAGGAGACAACTTGCCTGTTTGTCTAAATCTCAGAAGTCCCTTCCGTGGAGAAATCTTAAGAAAGACGTGGTCCCCTACCTCAAGAACAAGGATCTCCTCCTCTTGTCAGCGTAACTTCTTTACCTACTCTAAGCTGTAGCCAACCGCTGCCGAATCAACTTGATCTTCTCCGTGGTCTCAAAGACAATATCAGGACC